GAATAATCACATCGTTCTCCGAAAGAGTTGACTCCCGTGGTGCACTAACCACATTAGAGGGCAGCTCAAAAGTAGTGGAAACTACCCACTTCACAAAAGTTTTCGAGTGGATTGTATTTTAAGCATGACTTTTAAATTAAAAAAATATTTATTGGCGTCAGCATTAAATTTTTAAATATGTATTTGATGATTTAGACGACTACGATCGAAGCAAACTTATTTAGCTGTTTAAAGCGAAATACACAAAAAATTTAAATTTAAAGTAAAAATCCTATTTGGAATATATTAAGTAACTGACCTCTATCGGATGGCTGGTCTTTGTCCACAATATAATATTTGTAGCCACCAGGAGCTTCCAAAATATTTCCATCGGCAATCGGCCACTTAAATTCGCGAGCTCTTTTCAGAATTTCCCCGTCCTGAATTGTGATTCCCAAAAAATCGTTTCCTCGATCATATGAGTGAATACCGTAGTTGTAAGTGAGTTCAATCACAAAGTTATCGTCCTCGTTGCCATATCCAATCATTGTTTTACTCCAACGACCAGCATATTCGCTACAAAAACAAATAATTTTTGTTTAGGCAGTTTCTACAAAATCGGTTTATTCAAATAAATTTGTAATAATTCACCCKAACAAGGCACAAAAAGATTAAGCGTCAATTTGTTCAGGATAATACATTTGTGTTTTTGTCGATACTTCATTTTGATCKGTTTTTCMATTGTTATCAAATTTTCGTGCTAATTAAAACGTTCTATTTATACAGACATTTTGGGAGACAATTTATTTTTGGTTAAAAACGGTGRTAAAAACRTACTTCAAAAAAGCGTAGGATATTCAATGGAAGGACTTAAAATTTAAAAATGGCATACACTGTTCCGAATGGTAATTTTTAGAGCTGCTGCAATCTATGTAATCGCGCCTTGATTTATACGTTTATGTTTGGAAAACGATGATAAGACAAAAATACATTTTTATTTTAAAATACTTGATTAAGACAATATTTACGGTGGTATTTAGGTTTTCCCTCTCCGCTTATGAACAAAATGGAAAATATTGAAAAAAMCCATCTTCAAAGCTTTTAAGAAACAACTTTTGAGGTATCTATATTTCTAAGAACGTTTTGCTATTATGTAATMTCTAGAATTAAGCWAGTATTTGCTTTATTTCTAAATATTAATGGAAAATCTCAGTTTACCACAATTAAAATAACTGGAAATCCCCATAATAGCACATTCATAAGTAATGGGTGATATTTTTAAATACCCATATTGGCGATATTTTAGATGCACGGTAAACATTTAATTAAAAAATAATATACACTTTGCTGCTACTTAATTAATTTTAATACAAATTTCACAAAGTTACCCATTGCATTGTGCTTCACAGCCCTCACTGAACTCCTCATGCCTGAACACCTTCATGCCCAAAACCTTCCGGTAAAAGTCCATAGTCCTGTCACGATCTGGGATTTTAAATACATAGTGAAGAGGTCTTCCATGTAAGCTAACCATAGTGGAACTGAAATGAAAATTGTATATTTTGCTGTTTGCTGTTGAAAATTACTACGAATAGTTCAACTTTTGAAACACTAGCATGCATTTCGATGCAAATTAAATACAAAAATTCCTTTTATCTTAGGTGATGTAGTATGGAAGATTGCTTGTATATTTATATCCCATATTGTTTTATTAGCTCTTTTGACCTTCCGTATGAACAGAAAAAGCTAAACCAAATACAACAATAACAACTGAAGATTAACAGTTTCGAATACAGAAGGTGTGTTAACAGACTTATCTGGTTATATTGGTCTTTTATTATTTTTATTATGTTGTTATATGCAGACAAATTGTTAAGCACATTAAGATTTAAAAAAATTAAATATTGTTTACAGAAATTAAAAACCAAGCTTTTTATGTACCTAAATAATATATGGTACAACTAGTATATAATTCTATACTGGCCTGCACCCTGCGCAAAGTCTATTGCTTACATGAAAAATAGTATATATGGCACTTACTTTATAGTGCAATTAATTGATGTGGAAATACTAAATCACTTATTCTTCCTGAGTAGAATCACACCAAACGTACCATTGAAATGATACAATTGAGATTAAATAGTTGACTTTATATCTCATGCGTAGTGATAATAATATTAAAAAGATAATGATAGCGAGATAAAATATCAGCTTCAAACACTAGAGGTGTAACAGACACTATATACACAGGGTGATAAAAAAAATGAAAACGCTTGAAAATCTCGAAAAATATGCTTTAGAGCGTTAACAAAAAAACAGGCACCTGATAATTTGGAAGAAAAACAAGCTTCTCTGTAGATAAGGCAGGTGATCTTTAAAATCTTAAATATAAACATCCACTTTACGTAAAAAACGCGATCTAAAGTAGCTTTTGTCGTAAAGTACAACCGCCAGTCACCCACAATTAGCATGTAGGTATCATTCATTTCATACTAATCTGTTTTCGTGAAGAGGATCTGGTTAATACAAATATGTATATTAAATTAATGATTTCTGATGGAAAAAGAAGACTTAAGAGATAATTTAAGCAAATATAAGTTAAGTTACGAATTTTTCTAGGGAATGGATCGTTAAACAAGAACAAATTCACACAAAAATCGTTTAGTTTCCCCAATGATAAGAACTGCCAAGAGAAAGTGTCTTAAATGGATCTTTTGCTATCCAACCTTCGAACACAATTCGGTTTGCTA